GCACCTTCGGTCCCAAAGCCGGGCTCTGGCCCCCGGCACGCTGGCTGGTCAGAGATGGCAGAGAGCTGTGAGCACGTGTGCCTCCCTCCCACAGCGTCTTCGACGGCTGCTGCAAACACCCCCAGACCAGGGACGTAGCTCCCGGCCACGTCTTGGGGCTGCGGGCCCTTGGAGACGCTTGTCCCCTTAGTGCCCCCCCAGCACCCAGCCCTCCCCTGGAGCCGTGATGGGTGCCAGGCGGGAAGGTGAGGGTCAGCCAGGCCATGGCTGAGATGCTGCTGCGAGCAGAGCATTTCCCTGTCTGCTAAGAGAGAGGACAAATCTTCGTGTGTGCCTGTGGCCAGCGTGTGCTTGGATGCTCTGGAAACTGGAAATGACTGAGTAGAGATGCTGGAGCACTTCTGTAAAATATCTAAATAAATCTTTAATATTTCTAATTGCAAATGTACATAAATTGCACAGCCACATCATTTCTTTGAACACCAACAACGTTCTCTGTACATTATTACATAGTTTAAAAGGAGCTGAAGGAGGTTCAGCAAACACTTCCACTTTGCTTTTCTTTGTTTTTTAAACATACTTACAAAAGAAGGTTTGTTTTTCTTTATAAGAGGATATAAAACATAGCGACTGCTTATCAGGAACAAGTATCAGCCTAAGCAGATATACAGAGAGAGGTATATCTTCAGACACAGTGATGTATGATACAGGAAGATGTGACCATGGAGACTGCGCTCTGGGGCACCGGGAGCTGCTGCGGAACCACACGGCGTTCACAGCAACGTCACAGCTCGGGTCACCCGCGGACGCCGATGCTGGAACGTGACGCCCTTTCTCAAAGCGTGGTTGTTTCTGAACGTTGTGCAACACCCTCAAGCTTGGATTTGGTTCGTGAAGCCCACCAGCTGCCTGTCAGCACGCTGCCGCCCTCCCTCTCCCCTCCACGCGTGGTTCTCCCCAGGGGCAGCAGGTCTCTGTGCAGGGTGGGAGCGGGGCTTGGCGGTTCTTGGAGCAGGTGGGTGCCTCGGGTCCAAGCCCTGTGGCTACGCAGTCTCCTGCGAAACCGCCCCGGAGAGCCC